TCTGCCTGTTTTGCTCCCCACTCTGTCTCTGGTGAATCCTGTCACCACCCCTGCACCTCTGGCCTGTACCCCAGTTCTGTATGCATAAATAAATAAATGTCTTTAAAAAAGGAATGTCCCCTGTCTTATCCGTGTACGGTTGTCCAGGAAATGTGATGAGGATGAAGGTTGGCCAAACAAGCTGTATACTTTGGTTACCTATGTGCCTGTCACAACTTTCAAAAAACTATAGTCAATGTGGATGAGAACTAATCACTGATTAACAAAGTTGCAAAACTGTAAAAAAAAAAAAAGTTTAAATTCTCAGGTGGGCATTCAAGGCCCTTGGTTACCTTGGGTAACTCACTCCAGGCGCCAACGCCTACTCCCGACCTCGACCTCGAGCAGAGAGAGACCGCCCCTGCGGGGGGCCGGGCATCAGGACGCCTGCGGCCCTCCGCAGTCTGGTCCAGACTCCGCCCATCCCTCGCTTGGGGCGTGGGGCGTCACGTGCACCCAGCCCCCGGGGCCCAGGAGAGGGCGCGTGGACAGCGGGCAGCAGAGCGGAGTTCCCCGAGCCGTAAGGTACTTTCCTGTCAAGCCTGGGAATCTTATTGGGGTGTCTGTTAGAGCGGGACCGATGTGAGGGGGCGCGTAGGGTGATGGGAATGACCCCGTCTGGTGCGTTGTCGGCATGTGGAGTGTTCTAGAGCAGGGCGTTGGTTTGGGGCGAGAATTCCGGCTCTTGCGCTTGTGCGGTGTCCTGGGCGAGTCATACAGCACCTCCGAATTTCATTTTCTTCACCTGCGGCTGCCAGGATGAAATGAAATAACACACTCAGAATATGGCCGTCGTTATGCCCCGCCCAAGCGGAAGCGTGAATTCTCCAGCCTGGCCTGACCTAAAGAGCAGTTGCAGCTCCATTTGTGTGGAGGCAGGCGCCCGTCCTTTACCTGGCCAGGCGGTGCCAGGGCCTGCTGGGTGCTTACCTCACTGGTGCTGTCTCCCTGGGGCCCGGGTCTGAGGAAGGAGCAGGGCCCAGGCGCGCCACCTGGGTAGGACGCCGCCTCCCAGGTCCCCACCGGTATCTCAAGTGGGCTGACTCGTGGACCCCCTATGGGACAGCTCCTCTCTGTTTACTCCCAGGGCCGCCTTCTGCTTTTCTTCCTTGCAGGTGGGCAGGCATGTCTCAGGAGGGGACTGCAGAGGACTCCAGCACAGAGCACCCTGTTCTCGAGTCCCGACAGAGCTGCCAACTTTTCCAGGGTGATGTGGGAAAAACCAGCTTCAAGTCAGGCCTGGCTCTGCCAGGGACAAGCCCTGGGGTCCCAGTGTGGGCTGGCAGCAGGAACAGGGTCCCTAGGGAAAGGGCCCATCCAGGCACCGCTGCAGCCAAACTGGGGCGCCCGCCCCAGGCCCACTTGGTATTGGGGGAGCTGCAAACTCCAGGACAGAGCAAGGATTCAGCGCCTGGCGCTGGGGGCCACACCCAGCTGCCCAAAGAGGCTGCCCAGGGGAGGGCTCCAGCCTTCAGAAGGCTCCAGATTGCCTTGCGGGACATCCTAGCGGAAGGTTGGCCCACGAGTGAGTGTGGCAGGCCTGGGAGTCTCCCAGAGAGAGCTTCCAAGGGCAGCGAGGAGCTGGCGAGGGATCGGAAGGTGTACTGCCTGAGGCCCAGACAGGCCAGAGCGGGTGGGAGGCGCTCCCGGGGGTGTGAGGGAAGAAGCCGCAGGGAAGAGGAGGCCTCAGGGGGGGGCCTGCCCTCCTCACGGAGCCCAGCGTCTGTGGGGACAGCCCAGAAGAAAAGGCAGCATGAGGCCCGTTCAGAGAGTGGGGAGGGGGCTCGCAGCTTCCGGTGGCCTGCTCAGAGCCCTGGAGGGGACAGCACCTGGCGGGGGGCTGAGCTGGAGCCCTGGGGAGGCCTGTGCAGCCCTCTCTCCTCTAAGGACCCCAAGTTGGGGCCTGGAGATCCAAGTGGAAGCTGTGTGGGATGCGTCTCTGAGGCTGAGAAGTTGGAATATTTGCCCAGTGCAAGCAGCGGGGCTCATCCAGGCAGCCCCTGTGGGCCTAGTGAGTCCCCACTGCTTGAAGGAGGAGAGTTCGTCCTGCCAGCTGCCCAGGGTTTTCCTCACAGCCTGGCGCTGTGCCGTGAAGTGCCTGGAGAGGCTTCCAGAGAGCAGCAAGAAGCTGGGTGCAGTATCGGGGCTGGCAGTGATGGTGGCCCTGTCACCTTAAACAACCAGGAGGAGCTGGAGGTCGAGGCTCAGCCAGTGTCCTCGGGGAGTCTGGGGCAAGGACTGGTTGCTCCCACTGACACTCCCAACAGCTCCCTGGAACCTGTAGCCAGCAAGGCTTCCTCAGCCTCATGCAGGGGGCAGAGAAAATCCCAATATGCTAAGAAGTTGGGAAAGGGCCTGGTATCCCACCAGGGCACAGACAGAAACCCAGACAAGAAATGCCAGGACCAGCTAGAGGAACCGGGCCAAGGAGTCTACCCCAGACTGGTAAGTTGAGTCTGAAGTCGGGATAAGGAAGGGCCAGCTGCTCCCTCAACACCATACTTGGTGGTGGGATTTAATACTCAGCTTGACGGGCTCTTAGTGACCATCATCTCTCAATCCATTTTATATGTGAGTAAACCGAGGCCTACTGTGTTAGGAAAAAGAAAATGCATTACAACTGCTGACTTCTTGTGAGTATCATTACCTTTCGGAGTTGGTGAGTTCTGGGTTCAAACCTTGTCTCTGCCCACACCTGACTCAGCAACCTGGGCACATTTTTTTAATTTTGTTTCTTCATCTGGAAAAAGGAATGAATGCTACTTCCAATTTGAGGAGATCTTGTTGAAGATTAAATGAAATGACATAAAACCCTGTGCCTAGCACAGGGTAAGACACAAGGGACATTGCTTATGTTAAAATTGAGTATCCCTGTAGAATACAGACTTTTTAACCTATCTCTAGACGGGGAAACTGAGGCTCAAGTTGTCCAGGCTCACACAGTAAGGGAGTCAGTGCCCAGCCATGTCCCGGGTATTCATTGCTTTCGTTTCCATTGTTCTTTTATTCATCATAATAGCAATTATCTTTTTATTTAAGAATCATAGCGAACATGTCTGTATACACAAAGGCAGGAGAAGGTATATGTTTTTGGTGTATATTCTTACAGAATTGACATTTTGGTCACGTTTATTGATTACGTATTACGTGCGAGGGGCTTTCACCTCTGTGCGAAGCTTGGAGAGGTCAAGTAACAGGCCCGGAGCACACAGCTGGTGAATGTGAGAACTGGGATGCAGGTCCAGAAGCCTGTCTTTGCTGCACAGCCTGCTCACGAGTCTCCCGTCGGGTGCGGAACCTGCCTGCTGTGTGCTGGGGTGGACACTTCGGTCTCCCAACTGCCTGTCAGGTGGACACTGTTGGTGCAGACCTACTTTTATTTTTTTTTGGTACAGACCTATTTTACCGACGGGCACACCGAGGGTCAGAGAGCTAAAATACCAGTGGCAAGGGGCCACACGGCTTGGGGCCACCCGGCTCAAAGTCCAACCACAAACCGGGGGGCTGGGATGATGCCAAGCAGCCTGTGTGACTTCAGCACTCTTTGGCACTACAGTGCATTTGAATGCTGTCACACTGCTTTTATAGACATAGTCAGGAATTCATTCTTATTAATGTGTGTCCAGGCAATGCCAGTTTGCAACACGGTATTTGTTGTAGGGTTCTAGGTAGGCTCACACCCTGCAAATGCATGGCCCCACACCACACTCACCCCCAAGGTCCCCATAGTCCTCCACCATGTCCACTGGGCTCCCTTTCCCTTTCGCTCCAACCCTCTTATCTCCCCACTGCCATCCACAGTATCCACAGTCAGATTGCAAGGGTTTGTTTTGGTTTGAAAAACACCATTTTAAAATAAAAAAATGGATGTGTGTCTATCATTAACAAACAAAGACTAAAAGTCCCCATCATATCAACCTTCAGAGCTGTTTCCTGTTGACATTTTGGTATATATCCTCTCCTCCACTTTTCCCCCTGTGTATACATCTTTTCTTTGCCTGGAGAAGTGATCGTGTGCTAAATTTTACAACTTGATATTTTTGGCTTTTAAAAAAAATCCACAAATAATGTGTTACGACACAATAAGGAAATCCCTGCGATGTCTCCTGGCCCCGCTGCCCTTTATCTGGACATAACTGCTGTTAACAGTAAGCGTCTGCCCATTCTTTTTATGAACCTCTGGAATATGGACTTCCACAGCTGAACCTCTTTATTTATATTCTATTACCATATTTATACACGATATGATGCATCATTGTTCTGGGATGTAACTTTGTTTATTTTCTAAACACTGTAGTATTTGCAGAGCTTTCCGTGGGCACACACTGTTCCGCCCCTCTCTGCTCCCCAGCCCTGCAACCCAGCCGTCTAAAGCTCTGTTTGTATTTGTCGCCACGGGCACTGCCAGCACGAGAGGATGGGCCGGGACTTCCTTTCCTCATTTCCGGCCAGTCAAGGTCACTATCTAAATGATCTGGGCAAGCATTTTCACCTTTCAAGCGTAATTTCCTCATCTGCAAAATGGGAGTATTAAAAGTACTTACCTCATAGGGTGGTGACGGGACCGAAGGAGATGACGCATGTCCTGCATTTAGCACAGTCCTGGGGACAGGACAAATACTCAGAAGTGCTACCTGCTGTGGACATACATAGTTTCGCCTGCTGTAAATAAAGCTGGGGGGAACAGTCTGTGCACCTGGCTTCTCCCCATTTCAGATTCTGTATTTGGGGAATTGGGGTCCTTGGCTGCTACACACGGAGGGGCTTGTTTGAACTCGGTGGCTGAGCTCGGTGCTATTTCGCCTTGACTGACGGCAGCCCATGCCGCGCACTCCCCCAGGCCCTCTCCTTGACTCTGGCACAGCCCATCACCCCACAACTTCCCAAACAACCCGTTGCCATGGCAACTTGTGCCAGCTGCAGGCGAAGAATTGAGGCTGGGTTATGACAGGGACGGGCGGGTGAGGACAGGGTTGAGAGGGAGGTGGGGAAGTGTAGGCACCTCACTGGTCTGGGCCCCTTCAGGCCCCTGGCTCCTTCTGTAGGAAGCCTGGGCTGGGACAGAACAGACAGGTTCCAGCTCAGGCGCTGCATCTCGCTGCAGAGCGACTTTAGCTGAGAGCGACTTAGCTCCGAACTTAGTTGCCTAGTCTGTGAAATGGGGCGCTCATCTGGGTGGGTGATATGAGAATCTTATTGTTTGGAATCTTGTGTTGGAATCTTCTGATGGTTGTGTTGGAATCTTCTGATGTGAAATAGAGGATCTTGGAAGGGAAAGGTATGGGAAGCTGGGTTGGAACAACATTTTCTTCTCTGTCTCAAGTCCCAACAGTGACCAGTGGATGGGATAGCAGTGGATGTGGGGAGGCAGCTTGGCCAGTACCGCCCCCCGCATCTGCCCACCACAGATGAGGAGGCACACCGCTCCTCTGGCCCCACCCCAGCTCAGGTACCCATTTGCAGCTGCCAAGTGTGTGAGGGAGGAGGGTGTCTTTTCGACAGAATGGCAGTCAAAGCATAGATGGTTTTATTGAGTGCTTATTGTACACCAGGAACTTCGCACATGTCATCAGCTCATATTTAATCCTTACAGTAACCTTAAAAGTCAGTGTTAATATGCCTCTGAACTGAGCTGGCATTCCGAGAAGTTAAGCAATTCACTCAAGGCCATACAGCAAATGAATGGTGGAACCAGAGTCCATGTTCTGAGCCAGCTGATTTGGACTTTATTGAATTTTATTATTATTATCATTTGTTCAGTAAGCAGGCTGGCTTCTCCAGGGGTCTCATAGTTCATGTTATCATTCCTCAAAAAGTTGCTAATAATTCCTTAATATCACCGGGGCCTCCCTGGTGCCACAGGAGTTAAAGACACTATCAAGCTGCTGCCAGCTACTAAAACACGAGTTTGATCCCCAGCTGGCCAGGGAGGTGACCCGCATGGCTCAGCAGACCTCTCCTGCCTCGCCCGCAGTATACTTCATCGAGCTGCCTGTTCTGCTCCCCACTCTGTCTCTGGTGAATCCTTTCGCCCCCTGAACCTCTGGCCTGCACCCCAGTTCTTGTATGCATAAATAAATCTTTTAAAAAAAATCCTCAGTTGCTCATCAAACATTTATTCAATATCCAGATTTCCAGAAGTCTCATAAAGATAACTTTATTTGGTTTGTTTTTGAAAGTTAGGATCTAAGCACACTGAAATTGTTTGACATGCCCTTTAAATCTCTTTTAGTCTATAGATTCCTCTCCATACCTTGTTTCCTTGTAACCTGTTGGTCCTGTAGCTTATTGTGTCGCCATGGTATGGTTTAACGTGTTCCCCTGTCTTCTGTAGTTCTTGTGAACTGGTGATTGAATCTAGCGCTTTGATTAGATTCATATTTAAAGATTTTGACCCAAGCTATTTGACGGTTGTCGCTGTGTTCTTTTTGTCTGGTTGTGCTGCTTTATATATCTTTTGATGCATTTATAAGGAAGGAACTGAAAAAATTGCAACCTCTAACCGTTGCTGATCCGTAATCATACTGTCTGCAAATTATGACAATTTTGCTGACTAGAAACGATGATAGCAGGGACCCTTGTCTTGTTCTGGATTTTAAAGGAAATGTGGTCATCATTTCACCTTGAGTATGCTTTTTGCTGTGTCTATATATAGATGCTCTTTGTCATGTTAAGGAAGCTCCCTTCCATCCCTGTTTTGCTCATTATCCTAAATGGACAGTGCATTTAATCAAAAATATTTACTGTACTTTTTTAGATGATAATATGATTTTTAATCTTCTAATTAATCTTTTTAATCTTTTAATGTAGTAAATTAAATGAGTTGGTTCTTTAAAATATTAAGTTAGTCTTGCATTACTTGAATAAATTCAACTTGATGATAATATATTTTATGTATATATAATTAATTTTACATGTGTCTTTTTACCTTTTTTGAATGCGGCTATTTGAAACCTTAAACATGTACTTATGATTCACATTTATATTTCTGTTGGGCACTGCTGGTCTAAAAAATAGTAAAAAATGTTTCTTGAGATTTGTCTTGATTTGTCTGTGACCCAGGCTATGCTTAATTTTCATATTTGTTTTATGAGTACACCCCCATCTGAAAGTGGCATGTTTCTTTGAAAGCTTTCATCAGTCAAAATGGTGTAAAGAAACAATTACCACTAATTTATATGGAAAATTTGGGGACTGTTTGTGAGCCAAAAGAATAGCCTATCAAATCATATCAAATAAATAATACTTAAAGCCTAATCTGTACTAAAAGCAGGAATTATGTGATAAATGCACAGCCTGTATAAAGGGTTCCCCTGGAAGGAGCCACTCTTGCTGCTGGGGGTCCACGCTCCCTCTCAAACAGCTGCGGCAAAACAAACACTGAGGCTGTTTTTCACATTTTTGCTTTTAATGGTAAAGCAAAAATCCTCTCAAATTTTTTCAGTCAGTAGAAACAGGGCTAAAGTGGGTCTTTTCTTAAAAAGTGAAGTGGTGGGCCACCCTGGTGGCGCAAGGAGTTGAGTCTCAGCACTATGAAGCTCTCTGCAGCCACTGCAGCGTGAGTTCCGTCCCCGGCCAGGGAGCTGACCCACAGGGCGCAGCAGACCTCTCCTGTCTCCCCGGCTGCTCCCTTCAGCAGTGGGTTTCAGGGGATCTGACTGTTCTGCTCCCCACTCTGTCTCTGGTGAGTTCTCTCACTACTCCCTGCACCTCTGGCCTGCACCCCAGCTCTTGTATGCATAAATAAATCTTAAAAGAAATGTAAGTGGTGTAATGAGAACTTTTAAAAAACGGGATACATGGTGCTTTAAAAAAAATACGTATTCTCTATTTATTAGGAACGTGATCTATCCACGTATGCAGGTTAAGCTTGTTGTTTTCATCAGCTTTTTAAAAATTATTTTGTCAGCTAGATTTATCAATAGATACGTTAAGATTAGTAGTAATGGTGGATTGTCTTTTTCTGTAGTTTTGTCAATTGATGCTGTATATATTTTTCGAGATTCTTGTTACTTATAAATTTAGAGTTATTATAGTTTTCTGATAAAACTGCTTATTGTTATATAATGAAGTGGCCATCTATTTTTTGCCTTAAAGTTTGTTTTATCTTGTGTTTATTTGATTGTTATTTTCCCTTTACATATTATTCCATTGTTTTCTCCCTTTTATTACTTCCTTTCAGGTTGACTCTCCTTTTCCTCTTTAGTTCTCTAGTAGTTTGGAAGTTTTCTGTCCCCTGTGTATATCCTTTTGTTGACTACCTTGTAAATGGTAACATGAATATCTAAAATTTCAAAGTAGAAAGGCAGCTTCTATTTTAACCTTTCTCTGAAATGTTCTCTGGAATACTTTAGTCCCACGTATTTACCTTCTTGACCTATGTGCCATTATTATCCAGTAAATTGGTCCCATCTTATTTTTTTTTAAGTTTTATTTAAGTTTTTTATTTATTTATGCATACAGAATTGGGGTACAGGCCAGAGGTGTGGGGGGTGAGAGGATTCATCAGAGACAGAGTGGGGAGCAGAACAGGCAGATAGTTGAGGTACACTGCTGACGGGAGCAGCAGGCAGGTCAGAAGTCCACCACGCCAGGTGGGTCACCTCCGGGGTGAGGGATCGAACTCATGTTGAAGTGGCTTTAGCTTCTCAATGCTGTGCTTTAACCCGCTGTACCACCAGGAGGGGCCCCATCTTATTTTTTAATTCCACAAATTTTACTCTGTTATTATAGTTTCATGCAATCATTACATGTTTAGTTTATCAACATACTTACCATTTTATTTGCTTAAAATTCCTCCTTGCATCTCAACTTTTTTTTTCAAGGTTTATTTATGCATACAGAACTGGGGTACAGGCCAGAGGTGCAGGTATGGTGAGAGGATTCACCAGAGACGGAGTGGGGAGCTGAATAGGCAGATTGACTGAAATATACTGCTGAGGGGAGCAGTGACCGGGTCAGGAGAGGTCTGCTGCACCATGTGGTCACCTCCCTGGCCGGGGATGGAACTTGTGACGGAGCCGCTGCGGCCAGCTTCATGACGGTGTGCATAAACTCGTTGTGCCACCAGGAAGGGCCTGCCTCTTGACTTTTTAATCTGAAGTGTTTTTTTCCCCCTTCTTTCCTCATTTTGTTTATGGAGAAAAAGTAAATGACCAGGAAGAGTATTAACTCTGTTGGTGTTCTCTATGATATCTTTATTTTATTCTCATTCTCAAAAATTATTTTTGTCTGAGTCCACACTTGATCATTATTTTCTCTAAACACATTGAAAATAATATTCTGCTGTGTGTGCTTTCCATCAACACTATTGAGAAGTTTGCTGTTAATTGTCATTCCTTTGTGGGTAAAGTGCCTCTTGGTGAGAGGCAGTAGAGGGTGATGGTTAAAGGTGTGTCCCTGAAATCAGGCCACCTGGATTTAAATGCCAGATCTTTGGTGTATTATTTGTACGAGACTGGATAAGCTGATTCACCTCTCTGTTCTTCCAAGTGGGGGCAGTGCTAGGAACAGTGTTTAGGAATGAATTAACTAACATGTAGAACTTTTGGAACGGTGGGTGCACAGTTTCAGTGCTGTTCAAGCGTTAACTTGTTTTTTCTCTTGATGCTTTTATTAGAGTCTCCTTATCATTGGTGTTGAACAGTTTCACTATGAAGGATCGGGATGTTATTCATCCTGTTTGAAATTCACTGAGCATTTTGAATCTGTGAACTATTGTCTTTTATCAATTCTGAAAAACCATATATCCTCAATATCTCTTCAAATACTGCCATGCCCCAATCTCTGTCCTCTCTTTCTGGAACTTCAGTTAGATGAATTAGTCCTCTTCACTCTATCTGTTCTGTCTCTTTTTGTTCCAGTCTCTGTGCTGTGAACATTCTAGATAATTTCTTTAACTCTATCTTTCAAGTCACAAACTTATTTCAGCTATGTCTAATATGTGATTAAACCAATATGTTAACTTAAAAATTTCTTTTATTTTTTCATTTCCATAAGTTGTATTTGATTCCTGTCCACCTGCTTGTGTGTGTGTGTGTGTGTGTGTGTGGGGCGGGGGCAGGAAGGGGGGACTGGCTTTCAGATGTTTGGCTTTTTTAATTTACTTAAACATATTATATGCCCATATTTGTTACTCTGGTCTGAGGAGTCTAGCCTCAGTCTTTCTCTGATTCTTTCTTACAACCTCATGATGTGGTGTATGGACCTGTAAGCCAGGGTCCAGCCCGGGCGTTTTAAACTGCGAAGGGTTATTCTTAATACCTTCCCTCTTTCCTTCCCAGATGTTCCCTGAACACTCCCCCACCCCCTGCCCCTTCCTAAAAGGCCAATTCATTCCCATGGTTTAAAAAAATAAAAAGAGTGAACAATCTCCAGCCCCAGTCTCTTTCCTGCTGGCATTTGGGTTATTAAGTTCTTGTGGATATTTCCAGAGATATTTTATGCAGATTCACGCAAATACAAATTAAAAAATTCTTTTAAAATGCAAATGGAAGCATACTACATTGTCTTGAACTTGTTTTTTGAATTTAAAAAATTGTTTCTGATTATAAAAGAAATGCACACTCTTTTTGAATAACATAAGTAGCTGTGTCTACAACCAGAAAGTGAAGGTCCTCCTGGAATTTTACTCCCTAGAGAGGAGCTCTACTGTACGTCTATAAATATGTGTTTACATGAATGGGCTTATGCAACCGAGATGCTGTTCTACAGCCTATTTTTTTCTTTTTCTTTTGCCTTGACATCTCTCTGTGGATCTTTCCATATCAGTCCATGCTCTCTGCATGGCCCAGCAGTTAAGTCCCTGCACGTTTAGCTTCTAACCCTAGCTCTAATATTTAGCATGAGCCTCTCTGAGCCTCAGTTTCTCCATCTGACCAGTGGGGGCTGAAACAGTGTGTGACCCTCTGTATTGTTCTTAGTAAGATCATGCAGATGTGTCTCCCCCAGGGCCGGCTGCTTTACCAGCTGCTGCTGAGTGGCGGTTTCTAGTGTGCCTCTCCCATCTCAGTGACCTTACCCGGCACCCTGCTTATAAACCCTCCTCTTTGATGGACACGGGATTGTCCTTTGTTGTTATAAATGCCAACCTTGGGAACACTGAAATGCATCTTTCACCTCTGTGTGGTGTCTTCTTGTGAAGTTCCTGCAACGGGTCTCCTGGGCCCTATAGACTCTAATCTCTAATCCTCTTTCTCTCCAAGGAGGAAATGAAAATGCCCATTGGGGTGAAGCATGTGTGTTACGTAGGTTTTTCTTTTTGTTTCTACCCTTTTCCCTCCCTTTCCTCAGGTCCGTGGGGTGAGGGGTCCACCGTAGAGGCCATTCTACCCCAGTCTCATCTGCCCTCCTTCAGAGCAGCCTAGTATACCCTGCTCCTATGAGATGGAATCTCAGACTTTCAGTTTCCTTCAAACCTTGGAACCTGACTATTTGATGATAATTTGTTCCAGATTTACTGTTCACATCCACCTGCTTCAAAACCATTCCTCATGGTTTATAAGTAAAAGAATCCAAGCAAGCTTAATGGGAGATAAAGCCTATGGAAAATGCGTAGGAAAGGAGGAAGGAAAATGAAAGGAAAAGGAGTAGTCTTGTAGACCTCCTCACTCTTTTGCAAATCCTGGAAAGACACGACTGCTAAGCTCTGAGTTAACAAAAGGGGCTTCCTAGCAGCCATAGCAATAAGGGGAGGCTTGAGAAAACCAAAAACCACAGGAAGGGCTTTCTTTCAGGGACAATACAGGGGGCTGGTGGTCAGATGGCATGTAGACATGTCCATGCAGCTATTTCAGCTGAGCGGTGAAGAGCCCGGAAAAGGGGCATGACAGGCTGGAGGAAGTAAATTCAGAGCAGGTTGTGTTCCCGCTGTTGAAATGTGTCTAGTGGGGAGGATGAGTGAGAAAGGTCTCACTATAGGGTCCAGTAGCTTCTGAACACGACTGGGGGTGAAATGGGATGAGGGGAGGAGGAAGGTGGACACAGGCTTCTCTCCCGGGACGTAGGCCAGGCAACCAGCAAACATTCATTGACCCCTACTGTGTACAGGCCACTTCCAGGTAATGGGGAAGTGGTGGACATGCATGTGCCCTGCCTTCATGGAGCTTACAGTCCAGTGGGGGGAAAGACATTAAGCAGTGAGGTGAGCATGCTCTACACCGCTTGGCTCTGAAGTGTTCTTCTCCCCCTGCAGTTTGGTTCTGGGCCTGTGATCCACCTCCTGGGGGCTCTCCACCATGGCCAGGCAGGAGGGCCCCAGCCTCCAAAGCTGGAGACTCTGGAGAACATGATGGAGGTCAGCTCAGCCTCCCCTGCCAAGAGGCCCAGAAGGAAGGAAAGGCCCATGGCCCGGGGCCCTGCCGGGTGCCAGGTACAAAACATAGGTGTCTTCACCTAATCCTGCAGAGAGGCACCTTCACATCTCCTTCAGCGACGTCGCTGCACCGAGAGATGAAGGATATAAAAGCCAGAGCCCCACCTGGCTGGCCGCCCGGGGTCCCGTGCTCCTGGTTTCAGGAGCTGGGCTGGTGGAGGGAGCAGCCGGGCTCCCAGGGGGTCTGGGGAGAAAGCAGCCTCAGCCTTTGTTCCTGACAGGCAGGACACCTGCCTGGGCCCTTCAGAAAGGCTAACACTGCCCTGGCGTCCTCTCAGAACCTTTCTACCCTCACCGCCTCCACATCCTCTCTCTCCTGGGAGGGGAGTTCTGTTCAGGAGGCCAATGCTGCGTGTCCAGGGTGAGCGCCTTGGCCTCCTCAGCGGGAGCCCGGGTGGAGGGAGAATGTGGAGGTGGGGAGGTGACCGGGGCAAGCATTGTCCTCCTGGACCCAGGCGTTCTGCTTCAGTTGTCACCCCACTCTGCCCCCTGCTCCCACAGTGTAGCCCAGAGGAGGCTGAAGACGAGAATGGTGAACACGACAGGGGCGAAGATGCAGGTGAGGGGTTGTGGAGGGTGCCCCCAGCAGCCGCTGGTCTCGTGCTCAGCTACTGGGACTCCTCTCCCCGACCCCAGTTGCCCAAAGGGATGGGCTGCTGCTGCCTGTCTGCTCAGCTCCCAAACCAACATTCTAGACAGCCTGCATCCCTGAGTGTGGGACCCCTCCGTGGCTGCCTTCGTCGGCCTTAGTCGCCCCTCTCCTTGCCTCTGGGCACCCCTGGGAACCATGACCCTCTTTCCCCGCAGTTCAGCCCTGGCCCCAACAGGAGAAGCTACCGCGGGACATCAGGATACGGGGAACTGTCGTCCATGCCATGCAGCAGGTGCTGTGGAGTCGGTAAGGCCTCGCTCCCCACTTCTCTGACGCCCTGATGGGCTGCCCTCACCTATCACCACCTCCCGGGCCCTGCCGGGCACTGGGGGCCTCTGGGTGTGCAACTGACGCCTTGGCTGGGAGGTCATGTACCCACACGAGGAGTGTGTGGGCTCAGGGCTCCCGCTTCAGGGCTGTGCTTGCCCACTAAGCTGCCGCGGCCCTCGGCGTCTGCTCAAGTGCACCCACAGCAAAGGCTTCAGACACAGTGAGACTGCTGCAGTATCTCAGCTCTGAGCCCAGAGAGGGCAGGACTTAGCGGAGGCCACACAGCACAAGGCAGTGACAGATTCAAGGGTGGCACTAGGGTGAGGGCGCCGTCCCCTACCCTGAGGCCAGGCTTTCTCCACACCGTTCCTGCCCACTGGCCAAGGGCGGGGTAGCCAGTCCAGGTCTTCTCCGAACCGCAGCCTCCCCATCCGTAAATGGCGAGAGGTAGCATTTCTTCCTCACAGAGCTGGGGTGAGAGTAAATAGGCCCATGTGGAAAACATCTCAGAGAGACACGCCGGGGTCGGCCCGGCTCTGCTCCCCACGCATCCCGCTCGGGCTGACTGCCTGGATGGTCTCACGGGGAGAGTCCCGGCTCTGCCTCTGTGCCCACAGCCTCAGGGAGCTCCCAGACATGGTGCTGAGCGAGGAGGCGGTGCAGGGCATCGCCACGGGCATCGAGACAGCCCTGTTCGACCTGACACGGGCCACCAATAGCCGCTACAAAACCAAGTACCGCAGCCTGCTGTTCAATCTGCGTGACCCCAGGAACCTAGTGAGTGGGGTTGTGGGCTGGGCCAGACACCCCTGGGGGGCTGCGAAACCCTGGCTGCATGTTGGGGTGGCTCCTGCCGAGCAGCCCCTGCCCCTCTCTCTGCAGGATCTGTTTCTCAAAGTGGTTCACGGAGCTGTCACCCCCTACTGCCTGGTGCGGATGAACTCGATCCAACTAGCCCCCCAGGAGCTGGCCCGCTGGCGGGACCAGGAGGAGAAACGGGTGAGCCTTCCTCGGCAAAATGAGGAGCGGGGACAGGTTCTGCAGGAGAGGCAGTGTGGAGGGGGTGGCCGAGGAGGGAGCAAGGGGACACAGAGGCAGAGAGCAGAGTGAGGGGAGTGTACCCTGGAAACAGATGCTAGAGCAAGACAGAACAGGCAGATAGGGAGAGCCAGAGAGACACTGTGCACCAGAGAACTAGGAAGAGACAGAATGAAAGTTGATGGGATGGAGGCTGGGCAGAGAGGAGACAGCCCTGAGATGGCCTTCCACTCGCTGATTTATGCACACAAAAACTGGGGTCTAGGCCAGAGGTGTGGGGAGGCAGGGGGAGAGGATTCACCAGAGAGAGTGGGGAGCAGAACAGGTGGGTCTACTGAAATACACTGCTGAGGGGAGCAGCAGGTGAGACGGGAGAGGTCTGCTGCGCCGTGTGGGTAGCTCCCTGGCTGGGGATGGAACTCAGGAACTCAGGCCGAAGCAGTGAGAGCGCTGAGACTTAACCCCTAGGCCACCAGGGAGGCCCCAGTTGCTTTTCTGTGGAACTGGGCTGTGTAACGGGAGTGGGCAGGGAGGCTGGGCCAGAGTCCGGAGTCCAGGATTACCATCTACCGCCTATGGGGTGGCACCCCACGGGCACCCTAAGGCTGGGTGAGGAACCCCTGTGCCTACAATTCTTCTGGAGAATTGTAGTCTGGGAACTGCTCAGGGGAGGTGGGCACTGAGTGGGCTTTGGGGTATTTGCCTAGTAGTTGGAGTGGGGGCGGGGCGCCAGGGCCCTTGTTCTATAAGACACTGGGCTGATATAAGAACAGCTGGTGCTAGTGACTTAATGGAGAGGCCCTCAGGTGGATCCGGCCCCTCCTGGCCCAGGCGTTGAGGGGGCTGGGAAGCAGGACCAGCTACTACATTTGTGGGACCAATGTAGCATGAACATATGTGGCCTTTTTTCAGCAACTATTCAGAATTTCAAGGTAAGACAGCGTCAAGCAGCATCTTCTGAGCCTTCCTGTGCAGTGCGCAGAGCCCGGGCCGTGCGGCTGGGCCTGCAGGAAGCAGAGGAGCACTGTCTCCGGGGTCTGAGAGAGGGGGGGGGGTTTTCAGGAAACATTTCAGATAGGGTTATATTGATCGACATAAGAGTCACATATGGCACTTACCATGAGCCCGGCTCCAGGCGGACTGTCGGACAGACGCCTCTTCATTCTGAGCGAAGACACCCGAGCCTCGCTGCTGCCGGGTAGCGCTGCCGGCTAGACCACATTGCTTCGTGGGCCTGTGGGGCGGCCGCCTGGCGCTCCAGAGCCTTCCCGCTTTCCACTACACCTGGCTCTTCCGGGACACAGGCTGGGGGACCATCAGAGGCAAGTCCGACTTGTGGAAGAAGCCCAGGGCAGCTTCCTGGAGGAGCTGGAGGAAGAGTGGAACGTAGGGAGGAAGGCTGGGGGTTAGGGCTCTCTGGGTGTGGAGGCCTGAGGGACAGGCCTGGCATAGAAGGAGCAAGGGCGGCCTCAGGGGAAGAAAGTACTTGGGGCTTGTGGCCAGAGCGCCCCAGCCCCAGCTGAGTTGGGGCTCTCCGCCCTGCCAGGGCCTGGAGATGATTGAGCAGCACCAGAAGGACGCATGCAAGCTCCCGGCCTCCAAATTGACCCACAAGGGCGAAGTGGAGATCCTGCGGGACACGGATCAGACACGGACGCTGGAGGAGCTGGTGGTAAGGGGAGCCTGGCCCCGAGCCGGACGGGCCCTGCGGGGCACCCCCCAAGCTCCTGACCCACTGTGTAGCCGTGGGCAAGTCCCTGGCCACGGTCAGCCTGTGGTCTTCCATCATAAAGTGGTCATGGTTGTTACCACATGGGGTTGGGGTGAGTGCAGGGCGTGGGTGCCACCCCACAGGGCCACCTCCACGCTGCCCCCCCTGCTCTTAGCCTGCCCAAGCTCCCCCAGCCTCAGACTTCCCGGTCAGGTCTCTGGATGGGCGGCAGGTCTCTGGATGCCTCATTCCAGGCAGTGGCTTTTTCGGATGCGAGGAGCAGAGAGCTGTTCTATTCCCTGGAAAGGCTTGGGGGAGCCTGGTGCAGCATCCTCAGGGCGCGTCCGGAAATCTCCTGGGACCTGAAAGGGCTGGCCAGAGTCTCGGTCCCCTCTTGTCCCTTGGGGATCTGCTCAAGCTCACGTCCACCTGGCCTCTTCTGTCCGGTTGGCTTCTCCGTTGTGTGTGTGGCTCACACGGGGCCACGCCCGTGCCAGGGCCGTGCGGTTGCGTCCTGCCCTCCTGGGAGCTGCTGGGCTACACGGTCGCTCGGGCGAAGGAGCTCTGGCTGCGTTGGGTCTCAGTGTATGTCCAGGCTGGGGGAGTGCGGGGCGAGCCCTGGAGCCATGTTCCCCCCACAACCAGCGTCCAGCCCAGCAAACAGGAGAATGGCAGCTTTTGCAGAGAGGAGCCTAAGGGGTGTCAACAAAAGCCAGTCTGCATCCCCTGGAGGGCGCTTAGCACAGGCAGCATCGCTCCGCATGATGGCTGCTGTGCGCCCCCTTTCCAGCGGTGCCTCCTTGAGACCCCACGGGGCGCGAGGCCCCTGTCCGGGCTGAGGAGCCTAAAGCCACAGCAGTTCAGGTGGCCGTGGGGTGGGGTGGCTGGGTTTGAGCCAGGCTGTCTGATGCAGCGCTGGGCCTCGTCACTGCCCTGGACGGGCTTCCATGGCAGGAAGGGAGCGCCAGACTCCTAAATCTTCCCGTGGCAATGTTTGTTTTGGGTTTGAAGTTATTTCTACTATAAGAGGGGAAGGTGGGGCCCTCCCTGGTGGCACAACGGGTCAAAGCACAGCACTTAAGAAGCGCAAGCCACTTCAGCATGAGTTTGATCCCCGTCCTAGAGCTGACCCACATGGCGTGGCAGACCTCTCCTGACCTGCCCACTGCTCCTCTCAGCAGTGTACTTCCTCACTTGGCCTGTTCTGCTCCCTGCTCTGTCTGTGGTGAATTCTCTCACCACCCCTGCACCTCTGACCTGTACCCCAGTTCTGTATGCATAAGTAAATAAATAAATCTTAAAAAAAAAAAAAAGGAGGGGAAGGTGATTCAGCAGTGGGCATCGGGAGTCCGAAAGATGTTCCTTCCCATGATTCTGCTTCTGAGGACTTGTCCGAGGGAGATAACTGACCGTTTGGTACAGTGTGTCTGGCACCGGGATGCCCTTGGTCCTGGTACTAGTGGGCCCCGGGAGCAGTCAGCCCTCTTGCAGCAGAGGGGACAGTGCCCGGGCCTTGCAGTCACGCGCCACAGTGACTTCTGGGCCGGGGAGGGGGCGCAGCCACAGGGCCCCGCCTGCAGCCGGGTGCGCAGGCTCCCGCCCAGGTGTGTGCGAGCACATTCTGTGACGCGCTCACAGTAACCGTCGCCTAGCGCCACGCTGCTCAGAGGGCGTCCCCACGAGGAGGTGCCCGTGACTGCCGTGTCTGCAGGGACCGTTTTCACGTGGCAGATGCCTCTGCTACGAATGCTTCGTGTGGGAAATGGGACTGGAAGGGCGAACCTTCGCTCCCACCTGCTTTAGTGAAGCACCCCCAACCCCAGCAAGCCCTGTGTGCAGAAAGACCATCAGAAAGGAACACCCAGAAGATCAGCCGTGCCGGGACAAGGGGTGATGTTTGTTAAATTTCCAATTTTCTGTATTTGGCAGATTTTCTTTAACGAGTTCATTGTATTTTTGTAATAAATGACTAGATGATTTGGGAAAATCTAGCCATGTCCCTGCATGGCGGGGCTTCCTTCACACGGGGGGCTGCTGGCTTTCCCAGCCGCCTCTCTGCCGCACCCGCCTCCTGTGCCCCCAGGGACTCATGGTGTCCATGGACTGCAGCCCACCAGCCCTGCCTGCCCCATCAAAGGCCACCACGGAGCACGAGCGCACCACGGAGCAGCACGAGGGCCTCAGCTGCCATGTCTGCATGGGTGGGAGACACGGGAAGGGGGTGGTGGGCAGGCTGGGCTGAGCATGGGGGTTCAGCAGCAGCGGAGATTCACGGCCTGGGAAGAAGTTGGTCGGGTGGGGGTGCCTGCCCCAGGTCACCTTGAAAAGAACGGGGTTCAAACTGTCTTCAAAGCCCCGGGCTGGCACCAGCCTAGCAGCCCACACCTGTTTCAGCTCCGGCACCTGCTCTTTGCAGACTGGAAGTCGGAGTGTAAACAGTCGGGCCCCTCCACAGCCACCAGCAGAATGGGGGGCAGCAGGATGGGGGACAACATCTTCCAGAGAGTCGGAAGCCCAACCCCTGTGTCAGCTCCAGGAGGGCCCCAAATCAGTGACAAATCCCCCACAGAGCCCCCAAACAGGTATGTGGGTCTGGGCTGGGGAAGTGGGCAGCTCAGCAGGGTTATTGGGGTGATTACTGGGGCAGTGGATATGATGTAGGCTTTTTTTATGTGGCTTTGAACAAATCCTGCCACTTCTGTTTGCCTCTGTTTCCCCATATGCAATGGGTCTAATTGTCCCAGCCTACTGGTCACCTCTGCTACACATGACCGTGCTTGGACAATGGTCCAGCCCGAGAGTGGGGACACAGGACATTCTCTGAGGATGAGGAGGTGCTATGGGCCACCCTGATGGCCGTCTTCCTGTTTCCCTGTCCCTCCCTCTAGGCTCCCGACGCTTGTGGGACCCACCACAGCCACCCCTAGCCAACCACCCTGGGAAGGGGCTGTGGACATGTTCTCCATCAAGAGGTTCCGAGCCAAGGCCCAACTGGTCTCAGGACACAGCTGTCAGCTCGTCATGGTACCCCTCTCTGTTGCAGGGGCTCCCTCACACACTGGCCAGTCCAGGCAGCTACTTATGCCTTCCTTCCTTCATTCTTCTACTTACTCCAAAATAAGTCATTGGCACACCCTCTGGGTCTGGCCCTGTGCTAGGCATGTGGGCAAGAGATGCCAACCCCACTCCTGCAGACACACACACGGGTGTAAAGCAAGAAGCACATGAGAAGAGCCTGGTGCCTCCCTGGCCCAGAAGAGGGTTTTAGGAGTGATTGTTGAGTGACTGAACGATCAGTTAAAGTGTGGGTAGAAGGTTGTTGGCAGGGGCGAGGGGCATCTGAGAAGCTGCGGGAGATTGGATGGGAGATGCTACAGGCCTCCAGGGGCAGTGAGGGCTTCCTGAGCAGCCGCTGACCTTTCTGGGTCCTGACTGCCCATCCTTTTGCCCATCACCCGTCCTGTGGCTTCCAGGTGGCTGGCGCTAAGTGGGTGGGCAGCTCTGGGGCTGACTGGCATTGTCCCTGCCCCCAGGCCCTGCCCGAGGTGATCCGCTCAGCAGGCTGCATCCCCTCCAACACCGTCTGGGAGCTTCTGGCCAACATCTGCCCAGCCCAGGCCAAGGTAACCACCCACATTTGGGCCCCACCTTTCTCCAGCACTGACTGTCAGTCTTTTGCTCCCCCTTGCTCCACCTTTAGAGCAGAGGCTTGGTGTAGGATAGCAGGGTCCGGTTCCCACTGTGAAGTCACTGTGCCCCTTTGAAAATGGGGAGATACTCCCTCACATGATTCTCAGCGACTTTGATGTGACCAGCAGTTGGCAGCAGCAAAGCATGGTGGTTCCTAAAGCTGCTCCCTCCCTGCACCTGCAGGACGTCTGCGTGCTCAGGCTGTGCCCGCAGGGGCCTCGGGACACCCAGAACTGCCGCCTGCTCTACTCCTACCTCAACAACAAGCAGCGCCACGGCCTGGCCGCTGTGCAGCAGGTCGGGGTGGTGCTGCTGCCCCTGCCCGCCTTTCAGCCCCTGCCCAGCAGGCTGCGCCCACTTGGAGGTCCAGGTGAGTGCTCAGCGCTGCCCCAGACCCTGCCCCAGACCCTGCCTCCCTTCGGCTGGCCCCAGACACAGCTGACCGTGTCTCATGAAGGCAGGCTGTCTCGGAAGGGGGCACCTGAGATGGCAGATGTGGTGGCCGTCATAGCTCATACTTACGCATCACTCAGTGGTGTCAGTTCATTTGGGCCGTGAAATCGCCCTGTCAGGATGGTACTGTAAGTGTTCTCTGTTGATGGATGAAGAAACCGAGGCAGGAAGAAGGCTTGTCCAGAGCCACACAGCCAGACAGTTGCAGAGCCAGGCTTATACCCAGGCCACATGACAACCGGGCTTGTCACTGCACTGTCCTGCTCCGGCTAGGCACGGGCAGCCATGTTTGACCCAGACATAGCAGGAGAGAAGGGCGTGCCAGCCCTTGCCTGGCAGCGTGACTGAGGAGCGTTTCCAGCACAGTTGTTCTGGGCCAGGCTTGGCTGTGGTGCATGGACACGCCTCAGTGTGTGGCCCCAGGAAAGCACCTGGGAGTGGGCTGGGTTTGAGGGGCTTCAGGTGGTGGGCGGGACCCCTTTCAGGCAGAGCTCTTGACCTTGTGCCTATCTGTTCTGGGGCCTAGACTGAATCTGTAGTCTTGAGGTCAAGCCATCCGTGCCTGTGGCCTCTTTCTCACACTGAGAGCAAATATTTTGAGACAGGCTCATCCTCTCTTGCCGTTCCCAGCATCTCGCGGGCTGCCATCTTACTGTTAGAAAGCTGCTCTTGCAGTCTGGCTCCTGCTGCAGCCAGAATGCCGCCTCTGGGGGGCTGTCTGTTCTCTCCTGCTAGGCCTTTGGTCTCTCCTCCTTTCCCCCAGGTCTGGATGCCACTCACTCGAGCTTGTTGCTGGCTGTGTTGCTCCCCAAGGAGGGGCTTCCAGACACAGCAGAGTTCAGCTCCTTGCAGGGGAAGGTTCGCAAGATGGTTTCCTTCAACAAGAAAGTGGAGATGAGATGCTACCAGCCAGAGGCCGGGAGGCCGGCTGTGACGCCAAAGGGTGCCCTTCGCCCAAGGGATGCCCTGCAGCAGAGTCAGGACAAAGGCAACCTGGCTCCAAGGGGAATCTGTACATGGCAGAGGCTCCCCAGAGGCAGGGGGAACCTGCGGGGTGAGCCTCAAAACTGGCAGCATCCTGGGCCCGGGCAGTGGGCACACAAACCAGGCTGGTGCAAGTCGTGGCGTCCCTATTCAGGAGCACCACCCGGCCATGGCCAAAGCCAGGGCCAGCACCTCCACACAGCTTCCTGTCCCCACCAAGCCCTCCTCCAGCACCTCGAGTCCCTGGTGGCCCTGAGCCACCAGCTCCAGGCCTCCCTGAGGTCCCCAGGCCAAGAGCTCATTCCTCCACCGTCTGCAGCATCTGCCCAACACCGACCCCCCAGAGACCCTGGGAATTTGGGCCTCCCCTCCCAGCCCCCTGTCGCTGCAGGGCCCTCCAGCCAAGGCCTTTGCTCTTCCTTGGGGCCTACAGATGGAGCTGGCTTTGAGTGGCCTCTTTCTAGAGACACCTGACCTGCCTTACCCATCATCCTCACAGAAGCCAGTCCTGAACCCTGGGCTGTTCCAGGGACAGAGACAGGCAGAGGAAAAGAAGGGCTACCTCAACCCTCCTGTTGAATGCCATTTGTGTTGTTTGAATTCCCTGTTCTGTAGTCTGCTTGGTGTTGATTTTGTTTCAATAAAGAATTTGGCCAAGCTGGAGACTGCTGCTGTTAGTGGGTTGGGGTGGGTGTGTCTGAGTTTCTGTGCAGAGCTAGAGCAGGAGATGGAGGGTCAACCTTGTCAGTTGCTGGCCTGAGGTCCTGAACATCACTGTGCCCAGGGCTGTTGCTATGATGGCTTCTGAGAGCATTTGCAAGTATTCTAAACTAAGAGGAAGAGGTGATGGGAGAGAAGGTAGTGCTAGGGTTGGGGCGGGGAAAGAAAAGAGGTTTATTTATAGATACTTAGAGATTGTTGGGGAGGAAGAAGAGTTGCAATACATATTCAGTGACCAAGATTTATTCCTTTGGACAGTGGATGTGTTTCCATATAATCTGTGTGTGTCTGTGCATCTGGGAGGGTCTGTCTTCATGTGTCTGCGAGCATGTATGTGCGTCTGATTGCATGTCTGTGTGTGCAGCACTGTTGAGGAAGGTGGGCAGGCCTTATAATATGACTTCTTTGTGTGCCTCTTGCTCCCAGGGACTGGACCTGGAGAAAGCCAAGTGTCCCTTCACGTTGGACGTGGGTGTTCAGGGTGGGGTTGGGTTGGTGTTAGGGAAGATGGCCTCTTTTGCCAGGTGTCAGGAAGAGCTCCTAAGTGCATCTCAGTTTAGGGTGTACTTCAGGAGAACCGAGTTGGGGACTGACCCAGGAATTAGCTCTGTGGGACTAACCCAGCACAGGGGAGCAGGGCCTGGCTTGGAGGAAAGAACCTCTAGCCGGTTTCTCTCCGTTCCCTGGGCCTGCAGGCCTGTACCCTCTGCCCCACTTCTCAAAGTCTAGTTTGATCAGACTCACCTGGACTCCATTGCCCTGGGAAGGATGGGCTGCTGGTGGTTTGGGCTGTTCTCCCATAAGCTCTGCTGCTGCCCTACCCGCGGCCGGCAGCAGAGGGGGCCCTCGGCCGTGGGATAGAGGCAGGGGCTGGAGGCTGAGCCGGGAGCCGGAAGAGGTGCCTGGAATTTAGCCGACCGGCAGTGGAAGCGGAGACTGGATGGGATGCAGAGGTGGGGCAGAGGACTGGACAGATGACCAGGGGAGGAAGACTCCTTTTGGGATTTTTTTCTGGCGGCAAGGGGCTCGTGAGTGCCACAAACTCCGTGCTATATGTAAATAACGCAAATTACTATGCAAACCTACAGTTCTAGTCGGTCGTTTTCTTAACACAGTTTGGGTAGATGTGGGGGCACGGCTGTGCAACCCTGTCTCCAGACCCAGGGCTTCCTTTCAGGGAAACCAGAGCGCATTTGCTGCCTCTCGGGGCACTCAGGGAAGAACAAGCTCCACTCTGGGCTGCGACAGCCTTCCAGAGCTTTAGTTTTTCCCTCTGTAAACCTCCCCTGTGTGTGGCCTTCGATCATTTCGTGTACGGAAGGACCCCCGAAATCACGCAGCCTGCCTCGAGTTTAGAGTGGACACGACCTCCACCCACCTTTGGCCGTGGTCCACCGCCCCCTTTGGCTTCTCTCTTGGCTGAGGCGGCCAGGAGCTTGGATTAGTCGAGCAGTTGCTAGGGGGCGTGACTGGCGGTTGCTAGTCTAGAGGGACGTTGCTAAGCAACGCTGGGCGGGGCTCACGTTGCCGGAGGAGGAGTCGCCAGAGACCCGAAGGCCTCGGAGCTCCCCTCGGTTTTAGTGGTAGGCGCCCCACAACGTCAGTGTCCCCGAGACTTTCTCCGGATCTCAGCCCCCCGCAGGCTGGACGCAGTCTCTGGGGGTCCTTAGGTTCGCACCCTCAGCGACTCGGTGATCTTCGGGGTTCTGGAGCAAGGAACCCTGGGTCGTTGTACACGTGTCTGTGGCTTCCGCGGTGGGAGGGGAGGGGGTCGCCCTTGGGTTTCCATGGCAACCGTCCCAGGTCACCCCTCTGCTCCCTAAGGTTTAAGTGGTTGCTTGTAGAAATTTACATATATCTACATGTCATTAACATAGAGGCTGGGCCGGAACTTGTTTGGGCAACTCTCCCTGGACAGTTCCCTGTGCTGCTCCTCCGGCTGCTGGGCGTGGGCTGCGCATGCGTGAGTGTTCTGCTTATTAATGTTCCCAGATTGGGGGTGGGTGGATGAGCTGTAATAGTGACCACCGTTCCCTAGTGACCTTATTGAATCATTAGCATGACTCCTCTAAGCACTCCTGACCAAAGACACCTTTCCTTGGCTATCTGGCCTTGGGTAAATTTAGTTCCCCTCTCTATGGCTCAGTTACCTTCTCTGTGACTAGGGATGCTGACCCCTAATTCATCAGGTTGTGGGAGGGTTCAGTGAAATGCCACTTTGCATATATTTATTGCTGCTTCTGGCTCTAGTTCACAATGGTAGCAGCCTTCCCCCCCCATCAGTTTCTCTTAAGAATCAGCTACAGCAAATTCATTTATTTTGCAGCAAAATATGACAATTAAACACCAGCTATAACTCAGGTGTTGGGACACATACTGTTGGAGGCACAGAATGAGAACTGTGCCGGGTTTTCTTTCTTAGAGTTTGGAAGCCAGGTTGGTGAAGACCCCATGACAACCCCCCACTTCATCCCCCAAGCACATCCTTTCACCCAGGTTTCTCTCAGGGCTTTGCCGAAACCTGATGTTCCTGTCTCAAAGGAGCTTGAGGTGGCTGCAGCTGCACCAGCCGAGGTGGGGACACTTAAAGACTAGAACTAAGGAGGAGGTGACCAAGAATTGCCCTCCAGGATTGCGCTGTCTGGACAGAGCAGTCCAGCAGGAAGCTGAGAGCAGGAACTCCTCGGACAACCACACATCTGAACTTTTGCCAGAGAGGACTGGGAGACCCTGGTGGTATGCCCTTGTACTTTATAGGCTTCAGTGTCTCCACTGTGGACAGTTAGTTCTACAGTGGGAGTCTGCTGTGACCCCCTGTGGAGGGGGAGGCAGAATCAGCTCAGCATGTTCCCACTGCCATGTGCAGTGCCCTGGGGCATTGGGTGCCCTGTTGTCAGGGCTGTGAAATTAGAGGCTGATAGGGAGACCCCTTGGAGGTGGCTGGGATGCATTCGCAGCGCGCCTCCTGGGAGTGCTTGTTCTTGTCCAGTTTCTAATAACTTCTTCAAAAGCTGGAGAGCCCTTCGTGGGCCTAACTTCATTTTCCTGCTCTGCAAGTAGCACCTTTTCCTCACCTCCTCTCTCTATGTGTGTCTGTAACTTTAACAGTCTTCAGAGCTAGGACTGGAGGGAGGCAGAGCAGGTATTAAAGGAAGAGTAGCAGTTCTACTCTGTGTTGGTATCTTAGCCTCAGTTAGCTCCAGAAAATGAAAATAAATGAATTTGGATTCTATCCTGGGTAGAGGAAGGTTGCTGGTGACGGAGAAGGAGTGTGGGAGCTAGGTTCATTGGTTGGTTAACTTCCTGGAGACTGGAGAGTTAGGATTATGTGAGGGCTATACCCTGCAGTTGTCATTCTGACCGCTGTGTGCAGGACTGCTGTCTTCCGGGCGATGGCAGCTGGCCAGTTCCTTCCTGCTAGCCACCTGTGCTCCACAGGTAAGGGTTCCTGGGACAGGCTGAGTCTGGTAGTGCCCGGCTGGCCTGCCTCTGTCCTACTCTGGGGGCCAATTAAGTCTCTGGCCCTAGCTGCGCCGATTAACAGTTAATAAGGCAGCAAACACCTGCAGCTATGGAGGCGAATTAAGAGCAACAGTCGGCATAATACACAACCTGATAAGTGAGCAATTAACAACCGGAGAAAGATTAATAGAAGCAATTATGTCCTACTCGGAGCCCTGTAAATATGACTGTCAATGGCTGGAGATTCAGTCCAGTCCCGCCTGGTCCCACCCAAGGCCACAGCCTCTGCCAGGAGGGAAGCCAGCCCAGTCAGGCTGTGGATTAGGACCAGCAAGCGCATACATACGCCTGATGCATATATGTGTAAGTGCACACATAGACATATCTACACATGCTCAGAGAAACGGTGTACAGACGCCATCACGCAGATACCCAAACCCCCACTATCATCCACCCTCACATTCACACGAATGAGTAAACGGGTACACATAGCTACGCGTTGTCTTGCTAGAAACACACACAGACACACATGGGAAAATGTAGACAATATCAAATGCTCTATTCCCTGTTTTATTTAGAGGAGAGTCACAGCCAGCCGGATTGTGGGAGTGCCTATGTTGACATTCACCCTGGACACATTTGGACATGAAGACACACAGCTACATAATCACAGGGTCCCTTAAGCTTATGGCATCGGCCTCATTTGGTGCCTGCCTCGCAAAAGGCGGTCCCTCGTGGGTGAGAGTCGGAACAGGGTGTCGGACTGGAACTGGAATGAGGGTGGGAAGGGACAGAATGTGTGAGCGCGGTGCTGCATACTGTGTGCATTGCATCTAAGCTTGTGTGTCCTTGCAAGAATGCACTTTTCCAGTTTATGGGCGTGTCCCTGTGTGTGAACACATGCTTATGTACAGCCTTTGACACGTCAGGCACGTACCTGTTCACCTGTCATTAGTCTGCTGGGCATGGGTCCGTGTGCTTGTGTCCAGAGGGCTGGTGGCTCCACATGTGGGTTTCCGGTTCATGTGGGGTGTGTGCCAGTGCTGGTGTTGTGTGACTGTACTTTAGAGTGGCTTATATATATGCTGGCTCTGGTCCTCTGCAGATGAAGGCAGTCTGTCCGGGATGCTTCCTGGGGAAGCTGGAAGTTCTGGTGATGCCCGAAACGAGGGCCCACTTCTAGGGAATGGGACCCCAGGACAGCGGAAGGTCCTCTAGGACTTTCTTGGTGCCCTTCAAAGGGTCTTCCAGCCTCGCTAATAGAACGCAACCTCCCCTGGGTAGTTGGAAAGAAACAGCAGCTTCTTAAGAAATGGACCTGGAGATTAATTTCTCCTGGAAAGTTAGGAATTTGCTGAGAAAGGGCACCTTCCTGGACCTGAGCCCTCCTGCTCTGCCTTTATCTCCGACATTCTCATAGAAACACCCAGACTTACGACCCACGCACGTAGCCAAAGTCTGAGGAATTCCCATCTTGCAGAGAAACCCCAGGCCTCAAGGATACAATCTCACACACTCACAAACATAGACAGTTATGAATATAGACATTAAAATCCTATTCATAGTCACACCCAGACCTAGCTGCCCACACACGGCCCCACCAAACACATGAGATCATGCACATACCGTCTCTTGTGCACACCCCTGCGCTCCCCCAGGCCCACACACCCGTCACCAAGAAGTGCCAAGAAGAGGGGCGTCTGCCACAGGTCTCCTCGCCTCCCTCAACACTGGTTGGACCAGATGGTGGAGGCCTTCAGGCCTCAGGAGAGCTCTTCATCACCACTAACCTGCTGACAGGTGGGAGCAGCGAGGCCTGGTTCTGTCAGAGGGGGACAGGGTGTAAATAAGGTAATGAGGCTCATCAGTGTCCCCCCACCCCAGAATCATGAGACCTGCCACAGGGCCTCTCTTTGTCGGGCAGACACTTGCAGACAGACTCACAGACTTCGAAGGACCGAGACGCAGTCAGGCCTCTCCACTGGCGACCTACTCACCCAAGTGGGGCCTCACCTTGCAGAGAGGGCCTGGTCAGAACCCCCACCCACCTCTGCCTCCCACCATGTTATGAAAACAGACAGAAGACCACCATGAGGCTCAGGGAAACAGATCTGAGGGGCCCCCCAAACCAAAGTGTCTGCCTGTCAGTCTATCCCTCCATAAATCAGTCAATCCAGACTGTTTGTCTTCTCTTCATTCAACCTTTGTTTTTCATTCATTCATTTGCTTACTCATCCGTGCAACCAATGAGGACATTAAACAAAGCGGTATATTCAGGCCGGTGACCTGGCATCTGTGCATTCTGCTTTGAGAGAGCAGTAGCTAGGGAGGGAGGAAAAGGGGAGGGTCTGGGCTCTGAGGGAGCTGGGAGGGGGTTGAAGGGGTTTTCCCATTCTCTGCTTCTTCCTCCATCTCTCAAAGTGAAAGAAAAGGTGCTGTGCAGCTGGAGGGAAAAAAGCCAAATCCCAGGATAATAGATAATAATAGCTAACACTTACACGTGCTCACTCTGTGCCAGGCACTGTTCTAAGTGCTTTACATGAATTAACTCAGTTCATCCTTGTAGTAACTCTGTGAGGCAGGTACTGTTATTCACCCCACTTAGGAGCTCAGGGAGGTTAAGTGACTTGCCCAGCATCAAACAGCCTGTCAGAGCCACCTCAATGTCTAAAGAGCCTGGGGCAAGAGTATATAGGAGGCCCCTAGCCTCCTACCCACCCCCTTCTCCTAGGTCCCTGGCCTCCATCTGGCAGATGAGGGGCTTTGTCTGCATGCCGGAGGATGCCTCTACACTCAAGGCCCTCCTGGCAAATAGCTACCCTTCAGCCACCCCTTGGGCTGGAAGAGAAAGGCTGAGGGAAAGAGGCCCCTCAGGCCCTGGCAGCTGGCTCAGAGCTGCTGGGACAGGGAATTCCGGCCCTGCATTGGGATATGGTCTAGAAGGAGATGAGAATCTAGGTGGGCACAACCCTGGGGTCCCAGCCACCTTCAAACTCTTCATTCTATGCAGAAGAGGGTTAAAGTGGGGTTGTTTCAAATGGGGACCCAGGGCAGAGGACATCCAGGACCTAGGTGATCCTAGGCACTCTGGCCAGTGTCAGCTCTAGCAGGCCAGTGGGGTCTGAAGGAGTCAAGCGGCTGACTTCATTCTGCCCCTCACCCCCAACTCTGCTCTCACCGAATTTAGACCATTCCCACTGGTGGAAGTGCTCTATGTCCAGGTCATGTTGCATGTGGGGACAGGAGGAGGAGGGGCTCAGAAGAATGGCTTCATTCTCAATCTTGTCACCCCTCCCATCCCATTCCCACTACATCCTCACTCCTGCAGCAGGGATTAAGGAAAAGTGGAGGTTCCTGGGGTTGAGTGGGGACCCATCATTAATGTCAACATATCCAGTCCCCTACCTCTGTTTCCCAGGCTTCAGGATTCCTGCTTTGTCTCTGGAGGCTTTTTCACACAATTACCCAGGCCGGGAATTTCGATCTCCGGTGCCAGCCAGGCCCTTGTTATGCAAATATAGGCAAATGAGATGCAAACGAACAGTCCCAGATTAACAGCGAAATCCCCAGCAGCTGGAGGAGGCACCATAAAGTCAGCTCATCGGAGCTTCCCCTCAGCCCTCCTCTGCCAGTCTGTCCACCTGGTCTGTCTGATCCCTTCCTGTCCTGCCTCCACTTTCCTGCCCACCTCAGGAGTTATCTTCTCAGCCAAGGGAGGGTCTGAACAAGTGGAGGTGATATCGAGGCCCCCCACCATCCTTTCAGTTTGAGATCTTTGCCCTGCCTCACTCTTAAGAGAATCAGGCAGGTGTGGGGGTGATGAGTGGGTCTGAGAGAAGGGGAACTTCTGTTTTACCCCTGCAGAAGAGGAATGTCACACACACAGGCACAGAGTTGGTGAGATTAGCTCCTGAGATGTGCACCCACATATGCTCATTAAGACACAAACCTCGCACACAACACCACACAAATCTGCCCAAGTCCCCCACCCCTTCTTCCCCTGACGCACCATAAATTAAACATACATGCCACAGGCTTCAGCGGGAGGGCAGGCTGTGCCCCCCTTCCTGGGGCCTGGAGTGGAAGGTGGAGGACACTGTCATAGAAGGACTCTGTGTGCAGACAGAGGAGGCGGAAGCTCCTGCCCAGGACAGGACCCTGGGGAAGGAGGCCGAGTGTGTGGAAGCCTTGGCGTGGGTAGTGTCCCCAAGGGAGACTGAGGCAGGTGTCTGTGCTCTCAGACACTGGGTTGAGGGGTCGGTAGCTGGGGGTGGGGGAGCCCGACCCACTGGCTGGCCCATGCAGCCTGGGTCCAACTTCTAAAAATAAGAGTCGAGAATCTCAGCCCCTGGTTGGTTCTGCGGGAGCCTGTTGCCTTGGCAACCCCTTCTCAGAGGCCTCCCTCCTGGCTGCCCCATTTGGCTGCTGGTCCCTGTGCCAGTCCCCTCTGCTGGCCCCTCTGTCCTGTCGGCCTGGGGGGGGGGTGAGGCCAGTGGTGGAGACTCCAGAGCACCTTGGGGCCTCCAGCTGAGCACAATGGCCTGAGTGTGAGACCTATCTGGGGCTGAGGTGTCATGGACTGTCTGTGGGTGTGTGACTGTGTGAGCAACAGGCCTGTGTCTGACAGCCTTTGTCAGGCTGTTCTGTGTACATCTCTGCCTGCGACTCGGCTCTCAGTCCCCGGGTAGGGGGGGCCGTGCCCCTCCCGTGGATCCAGGCCCCTGTCGTGACAGTGTGTCTGTCATTAAAGAGGACTTAACTGTGGTCTTTCTGTGCCTGCATTAGCCCTCTCCTCCCTCTCCACGGGGCTCCCCTTCACCCCGGGGTGTAGTCCGGGAGTACAGAGGCCAGGCTGAGGGCTGCCCAGTGGCCAGAAGTCCGCTGTGGCAATGTTGCCAAGGTCAGCTTCTTCCTGGGTCTGCAACCAAATCGCAGATAATCCCCAGATCTGCTCCTTTGGGGAAAGTGGGTTTGAAAGCCTTTCCTGAAATGGAGCAGACTAACGCTGAGTGGTGTGTGTGACCTGTCTGTGTGGACACACTGTAGTAACCACCGAGCAGAGCTCCCCTCCCCCGCCAGCCTCCTCTCTCCACTTCATCACCAAGTCCTGTCAAATCTCCTGGTAATCACTTCTCTAGCCAGCTCCTCCTCTCTCCCTCCCAGCCTCATTGCCCAGCCCAAGCCAACTCTCCCACCCTCAGGATGCAAGCGCTTCCTATGGCTCTGGCTGGTCTCTGCGTTCCACATCTCGCTTCCCTGTGTCCCCTATGTCCCATCCCTGCTCCTTCTGAGGCCTCCATGGTCTTCCTGAAACTCAGCCTGGATCCTGTTGCACCCCCGTCTAGGGCCAAGGACATGTACTTTGTCCTCAGGGTGAAGTCTGGTCTTCCAGGTCCTTCTGGACTCTGCCTGGGTTCACTGCCTGGCTGCACCAACTGCTAAGAGTTTCCAGAAGAGATAAGGCTCCCTTTTGTCTGTGCCTTTGACATACTGATTCCTAGGTTAGAACCAACCCTCCATCCGCTGGACAGAACTTACCGAGATTCAGCACAGGCATCACCTCCACCAGGAAGCCTCCCGGCTGGGCTGGGAGCCTGTGTTCTCATGACACCCTCGGCTGCCTCCACCATGCACACATATTTTTAATGATTTCCTCCTCAAATTTGTGAACTATTTAGAAAAAAAACTGGAAAGTATTAATTGACATTTAAAAAATCACCTAATCCCCTCAGTTTATTTCCTTCCTGACTTTTAAGATTTATTTTTTATTTATTTATGCATGCAAGAACTGGAGTGCAGTTGCTGTGGGTGAGAGGGTTCACCGGAGACACAGTGGGGAGCAGAACTGCAGAGGGGAGCAGCAGGTGAGACAGGAGAGGTCTGCTGTATCATGTGACCCCCTGGCTGGCCGGGGATAATACTCATGCAATCACATTGATAGTGTGATAGCGCTGAGTCTTACCTGCTCCCCCCCAACACCAGGGAAGCCCCTTTCTGCCTTTCTTTAAATAAATTGATTATTTTCTTTATAAAATTAAGACTATCTAGTATGTATAGTTTTGTTTACCCGATCATTCGGAGAGCATTTCCCCAGACTATTAAAAAGTCTTCAGAACATGACTTTAAATGGTTATATAACATTTTACATGTGGATATATCATTGTTTATTTAGCCAACCCTCTATTGCCAGGCATTTATGTTGGTTGTGATTTTTTACATTTAAGATAACAGCAATAAAGCGTCCTTTTTCAACATCTTTGTTTATTTCTTTAAGTGAGTTTCTTGAAGTATAGATTAATAGGACCAACAGATCTGTTGACTTTTAAATTTCTTGACATGTGACCAGTGACCTTCCATAGAAGTTGTTCAAATTTACTCTTCCATCAGCAGAATCTGAGAGCACCCCCAGATTTCAATTCTCACCAACACTGTTGTTTTAGAAAAGAAGAAAAAAGCTGTATTAATTTCAGTAGGTAAAACTGCATTGTATTGTTGTTTTAATTTGCATGTCTTTGATTACTGGTGAGGATAAACCTTTGTATCGCCTCTTTTGTGTTATACACAGATCACACTGAGCTATAATTACATTTCTACATCCCTCGCCAGCCTCAGCTCTTGAGGACAGAGCCTGTTGGGATCCAATTCGCTGTATCAAGAGCAGGGCCAGCGCACGGGTTCCATTGTGGTTGGACTGAACTGACATTCTGTCTTCCACCCCAGCTTTTACCTTGGCAGCCCTGGAGTCGAGTTTAGCTTGGAGACCTGAATGGAAGCAAATCACTTTGCCTCTCTGGGCCTCAGTTTCCTCATGTGTTAAGTGGGCTTGAGTGGGGATTAACTGTGAAGAGGCATGTGAAGAGCTGTAGGCAGTAGCTGCAGTTTGAGGGCTGCT